TTTGATGGGTTAATTGCTAAATAAACCTTAACATTTTTGCGTTTGGCAATTTTATCCTAATCTTTAGTTAATTGCAATTTAATCTCAATCTCAATTTACTTATTGCAAGTCGAATCTAAAACTGATTGGACCTTCAAAAAACTAGTCGATTTGAAGGCGGTTCGAACAGATCGGAGCTCATATTTACCGGTTCACTCCAAATCTAGGAGGATACTCATCACCGGTAGCTTACATTGACGTAGAATTTTCGGCTTTGTACGTGGATATACATTAAATACGTGGAAATTGTCAACTTGCTACGTGGATGGCATAAAAACTCATGTCAATGGAAGACTTAGACACAAAATCGATCCACAAATCCCTAAAATCAATCACTTGCACCCAAATTTGCAATAAGTAAATTGAAGTCGAGATTATATTGCAATTACCCAAAGATTGGGATAAAATTGCCAAACGCAAAAAATGTTAAGGTTTATTTAGCAATTAACTCTTTTTTTTTGTTTTGTTTGGATTTTTTGATTTGGTTTGGTTAATTTTTAAAACTGTGGTATGGATATTAGTGGCTGTAAACGAATCGTTCGCGAACAAAAGCTCGTTTGTTTATTAATCGAGCCGAGTTCGAACAGAAAAAATTAGGCTCGTTTAATAATCGAACGAACACGAGCTCGTTCATGAACGATCGATTATGTTCGCGAACATTAATTTAATACAATTTATTTATTTTTTATATATTTATATAATATTTTGAATAAAAATCTAATTTTTTTTGGTACAAATAAAAATCTAAAATTTAATATAATTTTATTTATTTTATATATATTTACATAATATTTTTAATATAAAATCCCCCCTATATATTAATTCAGAACGCGCTGAGCCTACGTGGCTGCTTCTGGTGCTTCGGAATCCTATGTGGCAAAATTACATGCTTCGTTAAAAGGTTTGAGTAAATTTTAATTTAATTTCAAACCAAAAATAATTAGGTTTGGATTACCATAAATATGTTGATTATTTATGGTCATGTTACATGTATTAATTGCATTTTAATATCATTCCTTATTATAACTATTGAATTGTATATATATTTTAAAAGTTAATAACTTTTGTATTTTTTATCAGTTTTACATATGTAATATATCAAATTAATCTTCTTTTGATGAGCTTCGATTTAATATCCATATTGTATATAAAAAAAATAATTTATATTTATCTTTATAATAATAATATAAAATTATTTTTAATATTAATTAGAAAATAAAATTATTTATCAACTAATATATTTATATTTCAAGTAGTTATGTGATATAAGTTATAAAAACTAATATAATATAACACATGTAAGTCATAAGTAACATATATCATTCTAAAATACATAGTAATATATATATTTTTTTTTTGTAAAAAAATTAACTTAATTTAATATAGTTTCCTCATTAATTTTAAAATTTTAAGAATAATTTTTTAACAAGCACCCGTGTAATACACGGGTGTTGTACTAGTCTAAAATATAAAAATATTTTTATTTTATTCTTTTATTTTCAAGTTCGAACGAACAAATTTCGATTTAATAAAACATATTTTAAAAGTTTATTCATTAAATTATTCGAACACGAACGAACTCGAACTTTAACGAACAATTAAATGAACGAACTCGTTGCTCGACAAATAAACGAACGAACACGAACACTGCTCGAACGTAAACGAACACGAGCTCGAACAGCCCAAACTCGGTTCGGTTCGATTCGTTTACAACACTATTAGTGGGTATATTAAAATAATATTTAGAATAAAATAATTAAAGTTGATTTGAGGTAAAAAGTAAAAGAGAGAAGTTGAAACGATGGTTATTTAGAATTATGTGAGTGGATAAATAATGAATTAAATATGATGTGTTGTTAGCACTGTCAAAACGGCCGTGGCCCGCTGGTTGGCCCGTCCGTCCGCCTAAATGGACGGGCTTGGGCCTTTGCTTGGCCAGCCCGTTCAATCGCGGGCCTATTTAGCCCGCCCCGTTCGGCCCGCGGTCTAAAGCGGGCTGGGGCAGGCTGGCCCGCAGTCCAGGCCTTTTATTATTATTTATTTATTTGTTAATTTTATATTATTTAAATTTAGTATTTCTTAAAATTTGAAAGTGATATTAAGATTTGTGAATGCACATGAAACACATTTTTACATAATAAAAATATTAATGAATCAAATAATATTTTATGTGAATTAAGTCTCTCATCCACGTGAATACCCTATAACTATTCATAAAAAAAATAAAAAAAAAACTGGATGACAAATATTTAGCATTATTACACATGAAGCCTTACTAGTTTATTAATATATTAGTAAATATAAGGATAAACAAACCAAAAAGTATATAAGAGTGCATAATACTAAAAAATCCGCGGGCGGGCCGATTTAGCCCGCGGGCTAATGAGGGCGGGCCACGGGCCATGGATTTCCCAACCCGAAAAACCCCGTTTGAACCGCGGGCCAGACTGGGCCGGACCGGCCCGTTTGTCACTGCTATGTGTTGTGTAAGAATGATTGATTGATATTATTTAATTATAGTAAAATATTGATGATAATGAGTTTTTTTTTTTTTTTTCAGAACGATAGAGAAACTATTATAAATCAAAAGCGCACAAATGTGCGAATAAAATTACAAAGCTCCCAACCGGAGAATAAAATGGGAGGACAGGTCTAACGACCGCCTAGAATCCCGCTAGCAACGCTAGAATAAAGCTCACAACTAAACTGACCAACTACTCAAACAACTAAACCAATTAAAACAACTAAAAAGACCCCAACAGGGTAACACCCAAGTGTCGAATCCCAACAAGATAATAAGTTTGACACTCTGGTACACAGGGGCCAACGACTCAGACCAAAAACACAATCCTAAAAACACAAGTAACAGAAACACATACCAACCAAAAACTAAAACAAAGCATAAAGAGGGCAGAGCCTCCCCGCCAGATACATCTAGATCTACGGCAGACAAACCAACTCCAGAGACAGTCCCAGAGCACGGAAACAACTGCCCGCCACTGCTTGAGGCCTAGCAAGACACGTGCCCACACCCCAGGACCAACCGAAGAGACGACCCACACTCCAATCATGTGAGGAGACCCACACGGCTCGGCTTCTCCGAGTTAGCCCGCCTGAAACCTCAACCATTCATCCCAGCCCGAAGCGGCTGAACACAATCAAGCAACCGAGCACACACCGAAAGCAGCACCATGACCCCATCAGTAACTACAACCCCCTACCGTGAACCTTCAATCCCATCTCGCCAAGGAAGAGACCGAAAGGTCTCGCCGATGACGGACGATATAAAAAATCGAGACAAAAGCAGCAAAATCAAGAACAAACCTCCAATTGAACCGAAAGATGCCCCATTCGATCGCCGCTTCGTCGGCAAAAAGGCTCGGTCATGACCGGCGGCAAGAAGGGTAAGCAAGGTGAATAAGTGGCGACCCAGCCAAGGCCAATTGCAGCTAACCCAGTCTCGTCCAAAGCCAAGCCCGCGCCCCAACCGTCACCGATAGCACCTGAACTCCGACGACATCCAAGGGAGTGAATCCGATGGCCGACGCACGAACCAGAAACCGGCTTCAGCAACGGAGATGAGGGCAGCCCCGCCATGGACGAGTGACGGAGGCCATCCTCCGACAAACCCTGACGTCCGGCGAGGGAGATTTCACCGACGAAATTGAAGTGGTGAAGTGGCTAGGGTTTCGGCGATTGGGGAACGGGAGAGAAGGAAGCTTCAATTGAAGGGATGATAATGAGGTTGAGTTAAAGATGAGTTAAAAATGTGGTTGAGTTAAAAATGATTGGATTTTTTTGAGATAGTTTTGTATATAAGCATTGATAGTTAGCTTATTATATTATTTGTTTTGATTAGCAGAGTGCACAATCTCTGGAAAATACTATAATCTTGTTGACGGAATAGTTCCGTCAATAATTTATAGCGTAGATATACATGTAAACTAATTTTGTGTAGATAATCTACGGTAGAAAGAAAATCAGAAACCTTAGTTTTATCCGGTTCCGATAACCGGGTAATTTTTAGATCCAAGTTCAATCGACCGAACCTTAGTGCCGTTTTAAATAGTTTTAGACGTTGTTGCATAAATTCTTAACGCGTATCGTCGTCCCACACACGTGTTCGACTCTCGTCCGACCGTTGGAGCCGAACCACCGAGTCTGAGTCGAACCACCGAGTGCGTGACCGTGCAAAGAGTCCATCTGATCTGCCGTCTACGCGTCGTTTCCATTAGCCGTGGTCCAAGCACGCCCTTGCGTCAGTGACCGCAGAACTGTTTCAACCCGTGCATCGGCTATGCAGTGTCAATCGAGTTCGTGCCGACCCTGAGTTGCCACGCCGAACCTGGACCACGGTCAAATCGAGTTGCACATAGTCAAGCGAATGATCGACCGACTCTGAGTTAGCCGTCGGTCCAGTTCAGTCGAACCAGTAAGGATGGTTCGAAGAGAATTTCAATTTAGCCGAATTTGTCCAGGCAATCTGGATGGTTCAAGAAATTTCAGATGGATTTAAGATCTAGATTTATTTTAGATAAATTTCAGTCAGATTAAATTTTAGTGAGACTTAATTCCAGTCTGATTTAATTCCAGATAAACTTAATTCTAGTTAGATTATAGCCCAATCAGATTTAATTTCAATTAGA